CAACAGACAAGAATCTATAGTCAAACAGAACCGGGAGATTGGTTTTTCTATAGACTTCTTTAGCAAGCACACGACATGGCCCTTCTTAATCAAATCTTCCTTTTATTATACAGCTCCACGGTGGGTCCTGGGTGGAATACTGGTGGGAATTTCTATTTTGCTTTCTTAACAAGACCACTGTCTTTGGCTGCAATTAGAATGTGATCTCTCTGTTCCAGAATGGAGTCCAAGCCTCCTGTGTATATGTCCCAGTTGTCCACAGAGAACACCTGACGACTAGTATACATGCGGTCCTCTGACGACATGATGCACAATGTCAGTTTGAAATAGACAGTGATCCCCTGTACCAAAATGAACAAGCAAGAACAGGAACTTTATCTGCTACTCACCTGGCTCTCTGTTGCCCTTGGACATACAATCATACAATCAACGTCGGTACCTTGGTCCGGAAGTGGCGACGAAAGGGGCCCATGTGCATCCATTCTACCAAGTACAGAGACGCACACAGAGAAGCCTGAGCCGGTTTCAGTGTCGCGCTCTGCCCCCCCCCCCCCCCGCTCACTCCTTTAATTAACCTTCATCTATTTGCTCGACTTTTCCCATAACAAATTAAATACCAAGGAACCTTTAGCATTTCAAACTGAATGGACCAAGACATTTCAGAACTGAACTAATAATTCTTGCCTGAAAATTGGTCCTTACACTGGGCTCATTTTCCTTCCTCATGAATATTTTTATCGTTTGAGACATTTATTCCGTCTCTGTATGAAATCAATGCCCACGAGCCCTCACAAGCTCCAAAGGTAGATTCGTAAACTTTACTGAACTCATTCACAGCACGTTGCCCCCTAATTCTTTCATGCGACGGACCTCAGGCGCTCAAAGTGGCCATAGTTTTCCCTCAGATATATGCCTCTCTCACCATCGGTCCATTTGCACATGGGTTCACGCCATTAACGTGAACAGGTACCCTGGAAGACTGTGCAGCTACAAGCCTAGCTCCCTAAGGGGCAGTCTCCATCCGGGAAGAAGTGCTCAATTCAACTTTTAAAAATTAAAGCAAGAAGCACTTTGTTCGTGTACTTCATCTGATTAAACTGAATTAATGTAAGTTCATAGAACATTATCATCATCACAGACCATATAGGGGCCACTGCTCCTCTGTAATGACACAATAGAAACCACGAGACAATAGGCAAAACTGAGAACTTCATTACTTACATTTTAGAATATTCTCTCTCCCCAGGGGGTGAAGGCAGAGATCTTCATACTTAGGAAAAGATCAGCTGTGGTACAGTGTCCTGTAGAACAGAAAGGGTACATTTGGAAATGATAAGGCTTAGGTGTGTGAGTATGGGGAGGGACATAAAAAATACAGTACATATATATGAAATGTACTATATTAAATTCTCAGAGAATTAATAAAATGTTGAAACTTTTTGAAATAGGAGAAAAATGGATAAATCATAACTGTTACTTCAAGAAATGTTATTTCTGCACCTGATTTAAGAAACTGATTTTTAACCTTAGTCATTTATTCTTTAAGATGATAAAGTCACTGTTTTAGACACTTAAGACAGTATCAAAAGTAATGTAGCCACAGGGACAGTGCTCACTGCCAAGGTGGCACAGACTCAGCTATGGGCAGTTATGACAGCAGTTAGTGGGCACTGGAATGAGTTCTGGACTCACCAAGGAGCACTCCATGGTCACTCATAGTGATGATGGGATTGTCGTGTGAAAAAATGAGTTCTGAACATGAGCACTCCATGGTCACTCATGGTAATGATGGGATTGTTATATGATAAAAGGAGTTCTGAACTCAGGATGAACCCAGGGTAATAGTCCTCCCTAGCCATCAGTAGCTACTGACTCTTGGAAACAGAGCACAGCCCATTGGTCCATTTACCACCCCCTCCACATTCTATCAGTGTTCTTCCTTTGGCACATCAGTTAGGAGTTGGAGTGCAGCTATCCATCATATTTAATCCATTTCATTCTGCTCGCTGATTACCACGGACTCATTTCTAGTCACCCTAAACACGAGATCCATGAATACATCTCAAGATCTTTCTACGGGATTTTTCCCTAACAGGGAGATTACATTCCTAATGTGTCGGAAGTTCATGTTCCAGATCCTCTTCCTGGTCCACAACTCCTACCCTACAGCATCACCGTTATGGACTCAAGCTTGTCCTTGCATTCTTTATTCATGTCTACATGGTTTGATTGACAATGTAGCTGTATCAATAAGCTCACAATGAAAAACAAATCATGTAAAATCATCAAACCTTGTGATCCCTGAGCAGCGCTAACACCCTTCTGCGTAATTGCTCCCCAGAACACCACCTCTCTTGCTAATTAACCTCAATGTTGCATACATGCACAGCACAGTCAGTGTGACAACGCTTTGAATTAAGTCCTTTATCACAATTGGGTCAAAGTGTCTTCTAAATGATTCTAATTCACACTTTTAAAAAATTAATTTTGTGTGAGTGACTTTTAAAAAAAAGTCAAGAAAATCATTTCAACTGTCACTCTTCCTGGGGCTCTCCACACACATAGCCCATAGACACATCCACAGATTTCACCCAAGAAGAATGGCTCAGCACAACAGTGTTATTTCAGGAAGACAGAGCAAAGAAGATCATTAGCAAAACTGAGACCTCATTTGCATTGGTTTTGTTGTTGATCTTTCATTAGTCAGTCATTTAGACAATTTGGGATGTCTTTTATTTGATTTCGCGTGTATAAACAAACAATATTAGCCGTGCCACAGACACAGACTCCGTTGTTGGTCCCCTACCTGGTGCACAGCAGTGTTGTCACTACATAGAAATGTCTTCCTGCCTTGCAAGATATTCTTAGAGTTGAGGAAGGCTCATTTTGATTCATTACTATCTATCCATTTGGTTACTGGCTCTTTCCTTGAACTACTTGCAGCATTAGCTTGAAAAAGCATTTTAGCAAAAGCAAAAATGAAACTCTTATATCTTCCTGATCTTGTTCTACACTGTAACTTCAAGAGGGTGGGACTTGTATTTCTTCTATGATATCCCTCAGCTCTGGACAGTTACCCATTTATCTTTCAGATGACATAGAGAGTTCTGCCAAAGTCAGGATGAATGCTGGTCTCTTCTCATTGCTACCCTGGTTAATTGTTAACTCACCAATTCACCATTGGCAACTTTTAAGTAGTAAGGCTCCCAGAAAGCCAAGAGGCTTGCCATTGGATAATTGCCCTTGCTATAATCAATTATAGCTCATTCTCAAAATTCTGCTTCGCCATCACATTGCCCAGCTTCTCCAATGTGTGCCTGCCAGTGGAATGCTTCATACCCATCCCACATTAGAAACTAACCTGCCCGTGACTTTCTGCCGTTAAATAATGACACAGGATAATATCATGATATAAATACATTGGAATACATGTTTAAGAAAACAATACACGTTAAAAACAAGAATTTTTGTCTAATACTTACATTTACCTCCGTGAATGAATAAGCAGCTCTCCTTCCATTAGCCCACTCTAAGAGACAAAGAACTGAAGCCATGACAAAGAAAATGCTATTTTCCGCTTCTCTGAGCGTTGCTTTTCAGCTTTTAGTAACAATCACTGTTTAACAATCATTAATTGAGAGGGCACTTATTTCATTTTCCACTGAGAGAAAAAATGAAGAATTTTGAACTCCCCCTTAGCCTAGAAGTAGTAAACTTCTATAATTTATACTGCTGGTGTCGCCATAGCCAAGGAGTTGTAGATATACAAACGCATACCAATTTCAAAATCTACTGATGACAGTTTTGCTTCATTGCATATTTAAATTTTATAAAATTAAATATAGTTATTATTTTGGTATTGCTTAATTTATGTTTCTAATTTATTTGTTTATGATGTCTCACACTGGCCCAATAAAAGTAGAATAAAATGCATGAATACAAACTATAAAGTGTAATGTGTTCTAATCCCTGACACTTATCAAGAGGAGAATTTGAAACAAAGAGTGCACTATTAATCTTTGGGATGGATCTGAGAATTCCACCTGTGGATTCATTCATGTCTCTCAGCCCAGAGTGGTCATCACTGATCATGGACTAGCCTATGTTTCTCTAGTCATCTCCTGCTGTTGGCTAAGCCATCCTCTCACCAATGTCATCTCTATGAATTGCACAAGATGGAGAAGACCCTTCTGCCCCGAATTTGCATACAGAGCTGCGGCAACATTGCTGTGGCTTTTTACAAATCAATTATCCTCCATATTTCATGTCTGCCTTATCGTTGCAGACTATTTTGCATCAACCCCTACTGGCCACTTGCTACTGTTGGCCACTGTTACATTAAACACTTTATAGTAGTACAGTAATTGTCCTAAGCAAATTACCCAAATTAAGAAAAAAATGTCGGCTTCAGCTCACATCCAGCAGGAACTTCTTCGTGGGAAAGTATAGAGCCCTTGACCACGACAGATCCTTCCATCACGTCACAGAGTTCCTTCACTTGGAGACAGAATATGGCAGAATTAAGACAGCTCCACTATTACTCATCCTTGTTTTGTAGCTTTTGGACTCATTCAATCACTACATGGAGTCATTTATTTTTTAAGAAAATAAATAAATAATAATAATTTTAAGAAAAAATCATTTTAAGAAAATAAATAATTTCGAACTAGCCATTGTAACAATTTGAATACTTATTAATCATACTGTCTGTATATCATTAACCACATAGGAAGGAGCAGTGACTTTCTCTTTGGCTTTTACTACTTCCCCTGCATATTCACAATTCTCTAAACTTGGCACATATTTTTATAACTATATTCATTGTTTTTGTTAATATATTTATATATATATTTATTCATCCCCACATTGAAAAACCAGGAAAATATATAAACACAAAGATCAAAAAGAACTACATTGTATATTACTGGTATCTAGGTATGTGACCATATAATACAAACATAAATATATAAACACAGACAATGGGCTATGGGACCTTTGTATTAAACCTCATAATATGTAAATGCATTCATCATACTAACTCCTATTCTACCAGCAGTCATCATTGATTCAAGGCTGATGATCTATTTCCCTGACTAATATTTGACTTTTCATTGATGCACTGATATGTTAGAAATAAATGTTAAGTCCTATGATTCACAAAACACCTAGAACACACTTGATACTTTTAAACTATAGAGAGCAATCTTAAAATAATAGTAATTCATTCAGGCATCCATAAATGTATAATCAATAGAAAACTTAATTCCTGATCAATTAATGGGATTTGGTTGGTCATCAGTAATCATATACTTGTAAATAATGTATTGGTTATTCTTCTTTTGGGAGGCGAATTTCAAGACAGGGTTTTACGAGTAGGTCTGGCTGTCTTAGAATTTACTTTATAGACCAAGTTGACCTTCTTTCTATTCAGAGTCCCATCTGCCTCTGTCTCTAGAATACTGGGATTAAGGGCATGTACCACTACACCTTGGTGATATAAGGCATTGAATTTTCTTAAGAAAATCACTCAAAATAAAATAACACTGGAAGATCACTCACGATATCTCACACTCCTCAGGGCAGTGCCAACAGAACTCGCAACCATGGAGGATGCTCCAATCACACAGTATGTCAATGTCCATTTTGGGGAGTAGTGAGAAGAAAACAAAATTAACTATTTTTGGGGGGTTTCCTAGTTATGACATGTGCTTTTCACCTGTCATTGGCCTTTTGGGCAACCATTTTTGGAATATATTTAATATTATCTCTTAAAAAATGAAACTTTCAAGCTTGCTCAGAATGTGGACATTGTCTGTAATTTACACTGTTAACATCATCATTAGCAAAAAATATATCTTAAATGTGGCATAATGTATTCTATACATACTGATTTATTTATTGGTTCTCCTATTTTGACAATTAGGCAATGCTCTATACATTTTATTTCAAATTATTTTTAAGAATAATTGATTCTCACATTGCTACAATTAAAAAGAGTGGAATTTATAACATCAGAGAAAAGTGAATACATTCTACAGTTCTAAAGAAGACTCGAAATGAAGGGGATAGATTATGTTTCATCTTTAGTAGATTGCAGAGTTCTAGAAATGTCATCATCTATGCGATTCAAGTGCTACCAGAGACCATTGTCCATCGTGACTGCTCCTTTCTTTCTAACCACTACTCCTTCATTGTTGTTAATTAGTTCAATAATTGACTAATAATAACTCAAGCACCTATCATTCAAAAAACCCTACGAAATCTTTGTTATTCCTAATCTATATGGAACTGTTCTAAGCTTAACAAGTGTCCTCAGCACTTCATATATAATCGACAGCTTTCCCTCACTCCAGGGGCTCTGACAGGTATGGAGTGGCCATTCCTGGTGCCAAACTAGATTTTGCAGTCACACCTTGAGCTCTGCTAAGCAAATGAAAGAATCCTGACCATTACTCACCGTGGTCTGCCTAGCCTCGCCCATGATGCCAGCAGGCTCCCAGCCAAGGAGGCGTCCACACGTCAGCAAAGGTTTGAGGAATGCAAAGCAGAAGAGATAAAGAGAAAATTAAGACACTGCTACTGACCTTTGACTTTCACTTACTCAGCCCTAAGTAATCATTCATAAGATGAGGATATCTATTTAATAAGCTCTTAAATAAATATTGGCACGCTTAGCAATGATGTGGACATTCATAATGTTAGGCTTTATGACTTTCGTCATTTGCTGAAAAGCAGGTGTGAAGGATTCTTATTTGTCCTAAAAAGTCATTCGTGTCCATCAGGTAATTTTTAATTGGACCACACTTATTAATTTCTATTTGTATATTTATTGATTCTTGTACTGATCCAATTAAAAGAACATTAGGAAAGGCATCTATATAAGGACAGAAGTCAAGGCCACCTCTACTACTGACAACTGGACTTTATGATGGAACTCAGAGATGCAGTCTCTCTTTGTAATTTACATATGACAACAAGGTCACCATCAGTTTCCATTGTGAATATAAATGTGTCTCCTTCAAGAACTCCCCTCCTTTTTATATGAAAGTATAATCTATCTGATATACTATTTTATACTAACTCCATGTATGTTCTTTCTTACACTTCAACCTAGTGGAAACACCTTTCCCATCTTAGAAACACAGTGACTAACCTTCCACAAACCATCAAAACCATGACAAGAACGTTGGCCAGGTCTCACATCATCCAAGACACTGATGAGCTGATGAATAGATCCCCTTGGAAGACTCCATTCTAAGTAACACAGAATAAAGCAGAGGGCAAAACAATGACAATGCTGCTAGCAATCTTTATGTCACGACGTATCTTCTGTGTTGGATCTTGGTGTTTCAGACACATAGTCATCATGTATGATTCAAATGCCACCGGTGGTCATCATCAAGCCAAGATTAGCTTCCTTTTCCTATTTATTTCTACCTTGCCTATTAATTAATTATAAGCCCTATGATTAGTAATCCCAACCCCCACAAAATAATCTTTTTCTGGATTCTCTTTAATATATCCATCACATTAATAATATACATTAGTCACCACATTTGCATTAAGAATGACAATTTCATGTAGTTCCCATATCTGCCACTGGTCTTCAGATAGCCATCACTAACTCTAGCATGCACTGTTTAAACACTATACTAAACCGCTCAAACAAGGACAAGGAGATTCTTGTAACTCACACTAGTCTGTTTTCCTCTTCAGCAGGGTGCAAATGGAGCCCTTGACCTTTGGAGGATCCTCTAATTACATAGTTCATCCTAAGTACAGAGGGGAGATAAAGGGAGGGGGAAGGAGAGGAAATAAAGGAAGAGGAAATACTTACTAGAAGGCAGCAAGAGTGAAACACTGGAACCTCACATCTGTTACAGGCTCTATGAGAAGATACAAGCCAGTGCTGTTGACCATGAACAAACATGTCAGCCACTGGAGAATGTCCACTCCAAAATAGGGTTTTTTGTTTGTTTGCTTGTTTGTTTTAAAAAGTCACATTTCTCCCTTCGTCTTCTATGATTAACTGACATTTGAACCATTCATGCAAGCCATCATAATTTATTTATACTAGTGTCTTGTAAAATAATTATCTACAAACTTCCATCTAACCACGAAAATAGATATTATCTGCTATTGACACTATTTCCTCTGTATACAAAAAAAGTTATATGCTACTTGTTTCTCTTTGGATTACATATTTTGAATGTGCTAAGGGTTGGTTTTTGGCTTTCCAACTCTGGTTTATAAATGAATAACGTTTTACACACTTATCTTGATTGTTTTCTATATTTATCAGATATTCAAGGAATTAAAAGAACAGTATGAAATATATGAAAATAGAAATCTCATCTGCTGCAGGATGGACCCCAGAGACAAGCACATGTACAACATCCTGTGTTCATCATCAATCCAGCCTGACTCTAGTAATCTCTGTTCACTTCCGTTTTGACTTCTGATTGAATCATTAATTCACTAGTAAAAATGGAAACTTTATTATTCCCCCAAACACTGAAATATGCTAGATGTTGTGCCTCTGTAAGGAACAAATTTACCTCAAACATCAGTGAGGAGCCAAGATTTATCAAGCAAGGCCAAGGCAATGTCCTATTTCATGTTAAGTCCGTATATATCATGGTTATACTTGGCATAATGCAATCATAGTTAAAACTTAATTTTTAATGAATATATTCACTTGTGTTTATGAGTGTACATGCCAAGGACAAGTGCATAAAGGCCAGAGTCCAATATTTGGAAATCAGTTCTTTCTTCCCACCATGTGGATACTGGAGAACAAACTTAGGTAAATAGATTTGCGGTCACTGCCTCCTCCACTGAGCCATCTCATCAGCTCCTATTGTATTCTGTTCAATAACGAACAACAAAACCATACAAAACACAAGGACACGAACTAGTACTCACGGCCTCCCAAGTACAATGCAGCCATAGAATGTTGTTCTGGTGACCATGAAAACTGCAGAAATCACCTCAGCAGCACCCATTCTGAGGAATAAAGAGCAGAACACAAGATAAAAAATGGCATTCTCCTTCAAGGATCCTGACTTGTCTACTTATCTGCGGTGTTGGACCTTAGAGTTTCAGACAGGTAGTGTTCGTCATCTCTCTCATACCTTGGTAGCTGTCATCATTGGTCCAGCAAAGGCTTGATCTCTCCTCCTCATCATCATCACTGTTTACTGCCCAAGCCAATAGCTTACTAGTAATGCCTATCATGCACAGATGTACAACAGGAGCACAGCTCGTATGTTTACATTGGAGCTCATATCAATGTGTGCACATATACTACGAACCATGCTCAGACTCCTTGCATGCTTAGGACACAAGCCCATGTTCATCCCAAATGATGAGGAAAAGGGGGACCTATAAGATTTTATTTCATGCTTTGTAAAACTAAAATGTCTACCGAAATATAGACAAGAGCTAAGGCTATCATCCAGACTTACCTTGACAGAGTTAATACACATAGGGAATTACGCTGCCAGCTTATCCACACCCGTTAGGGGAAAGCAGGAAAAAAAAAGAGAGAAGATAAATGATAGTTAAAGGCAGATAAAAGAATGGTTTTCAACTTTGATTTAAAGAGTGATATATCTAATCCTTAACTAAGTAATACAATTTATCTCTTAATAAGACAAGCAAATTTAATTGTGTCCACAGAATCAGAACATAAACTATGGGCCATGAGATATTCCATATGTACCATCCATAATGAAAGGACAGTACAGGATGGTTCCATACAGTAGTGGACTCAGTCCCATCAGGCATCAGTACAGGGTGGTAAGGAGTTATGACTAATGCTGTAGTCTGTGTGGACGCGCAGATGTCACAGGGACATAAGGGTACTTGTAATTTTACCTAGTAGCAGATGTCTTGGTACACAGGAATTTTGTTTTGGATTTTGAGCATCACTAGCTCTCCGTGCAATGTGTGCTATAATAGTTTCTCTTACAACATAAGACCTCGAGCTTCTGTTGTACTTTGTAAACTTGATGACAGGCATTATAAGCAGGTTAAGGTAATACGAGACTGTGGCATGAAATTTATAAGAGCCTAATGTTCATCAATATGAATCAGAATATTGACACAAAAACAGAAGTGTAAAAATGGAATATGAATATAAATAATAATTCGCTGTTTGGGACACTTGTATGTCTTCTTTCGAGAAAAGTCCACACAATATTATTGTCCATTTTATGCAAATGACTAGTTTGTATACTACTATTATGTTGGGACACTCTACAAGCTGTAGGTGTAAATGCTGTGTCAGATACTATTCATCCACTAGGAAGACTGGATGGAATAGGATGGTTCTAAACAAAAAGCACAGATATAAATATGAGCATAGGAAAAATGAGGGACAGAGAAGCAGGTAGAGTATGGCTGCACTCACGTGCAAGTGTCTAAAAGTGATATCTGGAAAACAGAAAGAGGGATGCTGGTGACCCAAGTTTGGCATGTTCTTCGGAAGGTGGGAGCGACTTTGTGACCTGCACTGAAAAAGGTAGAAAAACTCTGGGGCAGAGCTACAGATGGGGCAAAGGCAGCTAAAAGAGATGCAGCGATGTTCTAAAACAACAGGACAAAGAAATGGGGGAAATGTGTGTGTGGGGGGGGGGGGTGGCTGACTAGAAGATACCCAAAACTTGATATTAACATTTTGAAAGTTGGAAACTCTCTAGAAAAAAACAATTCTAAGAGTAAATATGATAACATTGATGTGAAATACAAAGACTATGAAATGATGTTAAAGTTGCATTGGGGCTTCAGTTTTCCAATATGATGTCAAAATTATCACTACATTATTAATGTTATACATGCTGCTTAGGAATAAAGGTATAACATTCCCAACATCTTACCACCATCTGGACAAAGTGTGCGTCTAACTGGGGTATCAGTCACAGTGTTCTGTGGGTGTCAACGTAACATCAGAGAAAGTCTCAATCACTAGAAACTTCTCTGGTAAGCTCAGTAATTCAATCAGGCTGTCAGGAGAAAAGAAAGGAAACAATGAGAAGACATCTCCTGGATGGAAAACACAGCTATTAACCATGAGAAAATGGAGCATGATTTCATTCTAAGAAATTGGGTACTTAGAGCCAATTTGGTGAGATTGTCTCAAATATTATATTGATTGAGAAAATGAAGACCAAGTTCTATAATGGATTGTACTGATTATGTTTCACAATTTTTAAGTATGAGATTCTTAGTATTACTATCAAATAGCTGCCCGGAAAACCAAACAAAAGTCCAAAAAGGACGGGCATATGCCTATGGGCCTCCATCCACAGCTTAGCATGGTGAGGCGGGTATCCAGACTTTCAGACACATGGTGTTCATTGAATATCACTCAAATACTAGAGGTCTCACCATGCATCGCAGAAGGGCTCCTCTCTTCCTGACCTCCTAAAGGGCTGGACTTCAGAGGTGCTCAAGAGATCAAAGAATAGGAAAGAAGGGAAAGTTGTTCAGCCTGGTGATCCCTAACAGGTTCCTGTGAAAACAAGTCATGACTCAATACTTTCCGGACTCAACTAATGTAGAAACACCTTACTGCCAATGCACATATACCTCTAATCTAGTCCCAAAGGAAGGTCATTCAGCAGGGCTCGGAGATCTCACAGTGGCCGCGGTGGTTGAAATGGGGGAGAGAGTCCTTGGGCACAGCACGCTGGCACCTTAAGGTTGTCTCAGTTATTCTGAAGGGTACAGAGAAGAGAAGGGACAGAAAATATTGAGACCATGTAGGATACCACTTCGTGCCCTCTCTATTACCTAGGGTACACCTCTATGGTCTCCTAAGGGGAGCACTAATTTCGTGTCATATTTATGGAAAAAGGACTGGATCTTTTCTAACTTAGCACTGCTGCCCTGAATTGGATTAGCCTCTCCCCTTCCCCAATACTTGTCCAAACCCTACGCAAATACTAGGCTGTGATTTATTCACCTTGTCACAAGTCACATTCCCAAGCAAGTTACATCAAACTTACTACCCAGATATCAGAGGAAAATGGGCATTTGTCTTGTAGCCCAACCTTGTCTACTCTCTCTACCTGAAATGGTAAAAGAAGGCTACAAGGACGGCCAAAGAAAGATAACTCTGTGCCTGACCTCAGATAATTGTTCACACGGCTGTCATCGAGAAACACTCAGACACCACCAGATCTCATCATCAGTCCCTGGTTGGACGCTCTGTCCAGAGCCATCGGGATTGGCTCACTCACTACTGAGTGTGGCAGCTCGGGAGTCCACACTAAAGGAACCTACTCTGCATTGGGAAACCTCAGCATCTGCAAATACAGACTGCAGTGAGTTCACTGCTACGTTCTGTACCCTGACGTCCATAAGGCTATTAATGTGACCGTTCCTACCTGCCATCAGGTGCCAACAGGAGGATCAATGAAGCTGCCAGTCACAAGGGGCTTCTTTACTGAAGCCATGGCATCCTCGGATACTACCACCATGGCCAACTTCTGCCATGACTTCTGTTGCGTCTCTGGAGGGTACAAGGCAGAGAAAGGAATAGAAATATTGAGACTTTCTCTTCCCGTAGATCCACACTATCTGCCTTTCAAGGGCTATAGCATACATCTTTCTCTCTAAGGAACTGGCTTTTTCATTGCGAATATTAAAACAGATGTTCAAACATAGGCCAACAAAAATACAATGCAGACCACAGGCTGCATGACCCTTGAGTCTAAGCAGTATTTTCGCACTGCTATCCAGCCCACAATTCACAGTGCAAATGGGAAGGCATGTGCCTATAGGCCTCCATCCACAGCACGTTTATGCAGGCATTGCAAATGACCTCAGAATTCTGGATACTTGGCGTTCATCGAGAGTATTACTCCAACGCCACCAGATCTCATCATCGGTCGTGGATGGGCCCCCTCCCTCCCTGACCTCCTGCAGGGCTGGATTTCATGGATGCTCTGTAGAACACAGTGATCATAGAATTGGATACATTTCTCTTGGTTTTTCTCAACGAGTTCCCATCAAAACCTGTCTTAGTCAATACTTTCTGGACTCTAAACTTATAAAACTCATTAATGCAACTGCACGTACCTCTAATCTTGACTCAATGATCCTCAGACGGTTTCTTCTCATTCTTCATTGCTCAAGGGTCTCACAGTACCACAGTGGTTTGAGTGGGGTCTCGATCTCAGCATGCTGGTACCATCAGTCGGGTCAGCCTTTCTGAAGGGTACAAAGCAGAGGATGGAGAGACCATGATGAGAATGTTGGCTATTACTCAATGTCCTCTTCTTTCCCTAGGCAGCATGTCTTAGGTTTCTTCACAGGACCACTGATTTCTGGCCATTTCCAAGAGAAAATGACTGGTACTCTACAAGGTAGATTGTCCTGTCCTGCATAAAGACAGCACCTCATCTCCTGCACATTTCAACAATGCCTGTGGAGACACATGGCCATGATTTTCTCCACTCAGGAAATTTCACTTTTCCAGGGACTTTGTTGTAATCTTGCCTAACACAAAGCCATGTTCACTTGGTCATATAACTAGAAACTGATGCCAAGATTGGTCCCATTCATTCGTCCCAGACCAGTATCTTGGGTGTAACAAAGTTGGGCAAGGTAGAATGCTCTGTGCCTGACCTCAGATATCTGTTCACATGACTGTCATTGAGAAACACTCAGATGCCACCAGATCTCATCATCGGTCCCTGTTTGGCTGCTCTATCTGGAGCTCTCATGATAGCTCAGTGTGGCAGCTCGGGAGGCAACACTAGAGGAACCTACTCTGCCCTGGGAGACCTCACTACTTGCCCTTAAAGCCCACAGTGAGTTCACTGCTATTTTCTGTGTCCTGCCTTACATAAGGCTCTTGATGTGACCGTTTCTACCTGTCATCAGGGGCCAAAAGGAAGATTAATGCTGCCAGCCACCATGGAATCGGTACTAACATCATGATATCCCAGGAAATCATGAAAATAGCCAACTTCCGCCATTTCTTCATCTCTGGAGGGGACAGGAGAGAAAAGGGAATAGAAATATTGAGACTTTCTCTTCCGGAGACCCACAAAGTCTACCTTTCAAGGGGAGTTGCATACAAACTTTCTCTGAAAAGTATGGGGCTTATAATCCTGCATATTAAAGTAGATGTTCAACCTCAGGCTGACAAAATTACAAGGCAGACCACAGCGGCACGACTCTTGATTCTAAGTAGAATTTTTGCACTGCTATGCAGCCCACAATCCACTGTCCACAAGGAACGGGCATGTGCCTATGGGCCGCCATCCACAGTACATTAAAGCATGCATCGGGATTGACCTGAGATTTCCGGAACTTGGCATTCATCGAGTACCACTTCAACATCACCAGATCTCATCATCGGTCATGGATGGGCCCCCTCTCTCCCTGAACGCCTGCAGGGCTGGAATTCCTGGGTGCTCTGTTGAATGCAGTGATCACATAATGGAATACATTACTTTCTGAACTCTGTTAAAGTAAAATCACCTAAGGTCAATGCACACACCTCTAATCTGGTCCCAAATGGAGGTCAGATGGTAGCCTCTCAGTCTTCAGGGCTCTGGGCTCCCACAGGGACCACCATGGTTTGAATGGTTTCCCATGTCATCATGCTGGCCTCTCAGAATTGTTGGTCATTCTGAAGGGTAGAGAACAAAGGTTCGAGAAATCCTCATGAGAGTGTTGGCAATTATTCAATGTTTTCTTCTATACCGAAGGTGCAACTCTTTGGTTTCTTCACAGGGAAACTAATTTCTTGCCATTATCACAAGAAAATGGCTGGCACTTTTCTAAGTAAAGCGCACTACCTGCATTGGGACAGCACCTCGTACCACTGCTTTGTTGCACGAGGCCTGTGGGAACTCCTGAAAAAGATTTTCTCCACTCAGGAACTCATAATGTCCTACTTGTTTTCTTGCAAACCAGGCTAGCTGCCAGCCATATCCCTGGGCTAAGGACTTAGACCTGATTCCAAATTAGCCCCGCTCTTTCCTCTTGAACAATAACTAAGGGACCACCATAGGCGGTCAAAAGAAAGATTGCTCTGTGAATGACCTCAGATATCTGTTCACATGGCTGTCATTGAGAAACACTCAGACGCCACCAGATCTCATCATCGGTCCCTGGTTGGCGGCTCTATCTGGAGCCATCGGGATTGGCTCACTCACTGCTCAGTGTGGCAGCTCGGGAGTCCACACTAAAGGAAACTACTCTGCACTGGGAGACCTCACCATATGCTCTAAAAGCCCACGGTGCGTTCACTGCCATTATCTGTGTCCTGCCTGCCATAAGGATTTGATGTGACCGTACCTACGTGTCACCAGGTGCCAACGAGAGGATTAATGAAGCTGCTGTCTGTCACCAGGGGATTCTTTACTAACACCATGGCATACTGGAATATCACCATGATGGCCAAGTTCTGTCATCACTTTGGTTGACATTCTGGAGAGAAAAAGGCAGAGAAGAGAATAGAAATATTGAGACTTTCTCTTCCCGTTGATCCACACTGTCTGCCTTTCAAGGGCTATAGCATACATCTTTCTCTCTAAGGAACTGACCTTTTCATTGCGAATATTAAAACAGATGGTCAACCATAGGCCAACAAAAATACAATGCAGACCACAGGCTGCATGACCCATGAGTCTAAGCAGTATTTTCGCACTGCTCTCCGGCCCACAATTCACAGTGCCAATGGGAAGGCATGTGCCTATAGGCCTCCATCCACAGCACGTTTATGCAGGCATTGCAAATGACCTCAGAATTCTGGATACTTGGCGTTCATCGAGAGTATCACTCCAACGCCACCAGATCTCATCATCGGTCGTGGATGGGCCCCCTCTCTCCCTGACCTCCTGCAGGGCTGGATTTCATGGGTGCTCTGGGGAACACGGTGATCACAGAATTGAATGCATTTCTCTTGGTTTTTCTCAACGAGTTCCCACCAAAACCTGTCTTCGTCACTACTTTCTGGACTCTAGAATTATAAAACTCATTAATGCAACTGCACTTACCTCTAATCTTGACTCAATGATCCTCAGACGGTTTCTTCTCATTCTTCATTGCTCTAAGGTCTCACAGTACCGCAGTGGTTTGAGTGGGGTCTCGATCTCAGCATGCTGGTACCATCAGTCGGGTCAGCCTTTCTGAAGGGTTCAAAGCAGAGGATGGAGAGACCATGATGAGAATGTTGGTCACTAGTCAATGCCCTCTTGTTTCCCGAGGCAGCAAGTCTTAGGTTTCTTCATGGGGATCACTGATTTCTGGCCATTTCCAAGACAAAATGACTGGTACTCTTCCAAGTAGAGTGTCCTGTCCTGCATCAAGACAGCACCTCATCTCCTGCACATTTCACAAGGCCTGTAGAGACACACGGCCATTATCATCTCCACTCAGGTCATTTCCCTTTCCAAGGGTCTTTGTTGTAATCTTACCTAACACCCAGCCATGTTCACTTGGTCAAGTATATAGGACCTGATACCAAAATTGGTCCCGTTCATATATCCCAGACCAGTAACTTGGGTAGTAACAAAGTTGGGCAAGGTAGAATGCTCTGTGCCTGACCTAAGATATTTGTTCACATGGCTGTCATTGAGAAACACTCAGATGACACCAGATCTTAGCATCAGTCCCTGTTTGGCTGCTCTGCCTGGAGGTCTCGTGATAGCTCAATGTGGCAGCTCAGAGCTCAGGAGGCAAAACTAGAGAAACCTACTCTGCACTGGGAGACCTCACTACTTGCCCTTAAAGCACACAGTGAGTTCACTGCTATTTTCTGTGTCCTGCCTTACGTAAGGCTCTTCATGTGACTGTCCTACCTGTCATCAGGGGCCAAAAGGAAGATTAATGCTGCCAGCCACCATGGAATCGGTACTAACACCATGATATCCCCAGGAAATCATGAAAATGGCCAACATCCGCCAATGCTTCATGTCTGGAGGGGACAAGAGAGAAAAGGGAATAGAAATATTGAGACTTTCTCTTCCGGAGACCCACAAAGTCTACCTTTCAAGGGGAGTTGCATACAAACTTTCTCTGAAAAGTATGGGGCTTATAATCCTGCATATTAAAGTAGATGTTCAACCTCAGGCTGACAAAATTACAAGGCAGACCACAGCGGCACAACTCTTGATTCTAAGTAGAATTTTTGCACTGCTATGCAGCCCACAATCCATTGTCCACAAGGAACGGGCATGTGCCTATGGGCCGCCATCCACAGCTTAGTACATTAAAGCACGCATCGGGATTGACCTCAGATTTCCGGAACTTGGCATTCATCGAGTACCACTCCAACATCACCAGATCTCATCATCGGTCATGGATGGGCCCCCTCTCTCCCTGAACTCCTGGAGGGCTGGAAATCCTGGATGCTCTGTTGAATGCAGTGATCACATAATGGGATACATTACTTTCTAAACTCTGTTAATGTAAAATCAGCTAGGGTCAATGCACAAACCTCTAATCTGGTCCCAAATGAAGGTCAGATGGTAGCCTCTCAGTCTTCAAAGTTCTGTGCTCCCACAGAGACCTACATGGTTTAAATGGTTTCTCATCTCTTAATGCTGGCACCTCAGAATTGTTGGTCTTTCTGAAGGGTAGAGAACAAAGGATTGAGAAATCCTCATGAGAGTGTTGGCAATTATTCAATGTTTTCTTCTATACCGAAGGTGCAACTCTTTGGTTTCTTCACAAGGAAACTAATATCTTGCCATTATCACAAGAAAATGGCTGGCACTTTTCTAAGTAAAGCGCGCTACCTGCATTGGGACAGCACCTCGTACCACTGCTTTGTTGCACGAGGCCTGTGGAAACTCCCGAAAGAGATTTTCTCCACTCAGGAACCCATAATGTCCTACTTGTTTTCTTGCAAACCAGCCTAGCTGCCAGCCATATCCCTGGGCTAAGGACTTAGACCTGATTCCAAATTAGCCCTGCTCTTTCCTCTTGAACAATAACTAAGGGACCACCATAGGCAGTCAAAGAAAGATTGTTCTGTGAATGACCTCAGATATCTGTTCACATGGCTGTCATTGAGAAACACTCAGACGCCACCAGATCTCATCATTGGTCCCTGGTTGGCGGCTCTGTCTGGAGCCATCGGGATTGGCTCACTCACTGCTCAGTGTGGCAGCTCGGGAGTCCACACTAAAGGAACCTACTCTGCACTGGAAGACCTCACCATATGATCAAAAGACCACAGTGAGTTCACTGCCACTTTCTGTGTCCTGCCTGTCATAAGGTTTTGAAGTGACAGTTCCTACCTGTCATCAGGTGCCAACGAGAGGATTAATGAAGCTGCTGTCTGACACCAGGGGATTCTTTACTGACACCATGGCATACCGGGATATCACCATCATGGAAATGTTCTGTCATCACTTTGATTGCCAACCTGGAGGTGCCAATGCAGAGAAGAAAATAGAAATATTGAGAATTTCTCTTCCCGTTGATCCACACTGTCTGCCTTTCAAGGGCTATAGCATACATCTTTCTCTCTAAGGAACTGCCCTTTTCATTGTGAATATTAAAATAGATGGTCAACCATAGGCCAACAAAAATACAAGGCAGATCAACAGCTGCATGACCCTTGAGTCTAAGCAGTATTTTCGCACTGCTATCCAGCCCACAATTCACAGTGCAAATGGGAAGGCATGTGCCTATAGGCCTCCATCCACAGCACGTTTATGGAGGCATTGCAAATGACCTCAGAATTCTGGATACTTGGCGTTCATCGAGAGTATCACTCCAACGCCACCAGATCTCATCATCGGTCGTGGATGGGCCCCCTCTCTCCCTGACCTCCTGCAGGGCTGGATTTCATGGGTGCTCTGGGGAACACGGTGATCACAGATTTGAATACATTTCTCTTGGTTTTTCTCAATGGGTTCCCATCAAAACCCGTCTTAGTCACTACTTTCTGGACTCTAGAATTATAAAACTCATTGATGCAACTGCACGTACCTCTAATCTTGACTCAATGATCCTCAGACGGTTTCTTCCCATTCTTCAGTACTCTAGGCTCTCACAGTACTGCAGTGGTTTGAGTGGGGTCTCGATCTCAGCATGCTGGTACCATCAGTCGAGTCAGCCTTTCTGAAGGGTTCAAAGCAGAGGATGGAGAGACCATGATGAGAATGTTGGTCATTAGTCAATGCCCTCTTGTTTTCCTAGGGAGCATGTCTTAGGTTTCTTCATGGGGATCACTGATTTCTGGCCATTTCTAAGACAAAATGACTGGTACTCTTCCAAGTAGATTGTACTGTCCTGCATCAAGACAGCACCTCATCTCCTGCACATTTCACAAGGCCTGTAGACACACACGGCCATGATAATCTCCACTCAGGAAATTTCCCTTTCCCAGGGTCTTTGTTGTAAT